AAAAAAAAAAGATCAAAACACACACATCTCCAACTAATAGTTTATTGATTTTACAAGTGAATAGTTTGTACATACCAACAATGAATCAGTAAGAGGTCAAAAAATACATTTTAGTAACAGATATGAACACAGTGATAAAATGAGACTGTCAAATTTTACAGTATAACCAAATCAAATTACAAAGTTAGATGATCGCTATTTTCATCTTAGGTTCTTTGATAAAACCAGTAACTATGTTTCAAATACAACACTAACTATGTGAATAAAAATCAGTATCAGGCCAAGCGCAGTAGCTCATGCCTATAATTTGGGAGGCCACAGGAGAAGGATCACTTGAGCCCAGTAATTTGAGACTAGCCTGGGCACCATGGTGAAGTCCCATCTCTACAAAAAATACAAAGAAATTAGCCAGGTGTGGTGGCCTGGGCCTGCAGTCCCGGCTACTTGGAAGGCTGAGGCACAAGAACTGCACTCCAGCTTGGGTGACAGAGTGAGACCCTGTCTCAAAAAATTAAAAAAACAAAATAAAAAAATACAAAATCAATGAAAATCAATACTATTGTGATTTTGCTAAACTTTTCAAACTTAAGCTATTATGAAGTTTTTTTCCATTTTATTTGAATATTGCTATAACCAGTTTTGATTCAAACAAAATACAAACCAACATCGTATCAGTCCCATAGGCAGAAAAGAATACTGAATGGCTTATGATAGGGTTAATGAAATGTTCTATATAGCCATTTAGGCCAGTTTCTGAAATGGCACTAAACAAACTTGCTAAGAGTTTTACCTGGGATGCTGGAGGAAAGCTATGGCACGAAAGCCGATGTCTTTCCTGTAAATTGCTCCCTCAAACTTTATAGCAGCTAGTCCTTTCTTGGCTTCCTCGAGGGCTGATACGAGATTTTCCCGGATGGCTGTGACTGCAAGAACTCTACCTCCCTGAGTTACTACTTTGCCATTTTTGAGGGCAGTGCCTGCGTGGAACACCTCTAGTCCTTGAGCTTGAGCCTCAGGAAATCCTGGAAGAGAGCATATTTGACATATGATTTGAAATAACAACAGTATTTCACATTGTGAAATGATTTACAATTTCTACAAGTTTGTTGTTTTTTTTTTAAACTTGGCTAGGTGTGGTGGGTCATGCCCATAATCCCCACATTTTGGGAGGCTGGGGCGAGGAAGATTGCTTGAGTCCATGAGTTCAAGGCCAGCCTGGGCAACAGAGCAAGACCTTGCCTCTACATAAATCAATCAATCAATAATAATAAAAACAGCCAAATGCGGTGGCACACACTGGCTGAGGTTGGAGGATCACTTGAATTTGGGAGTTCGAGGCTTCAGTGAGGTTTGGTCGCACTACTGCTCTAGCCCCAGCAGCAGAGTGAGACCCTGTCTCAAAATAAATACATAAAAATTAAAAATAAAAGATCTTTATCTCCTTTAAAAGAACCTTCCCTATCAGACAGGTCTATTTTTTTTTTTTTTTTGAGACGGAGTCTTGCTCTGTCGCCAGGCTGGAGTGCAGTGGCTCGATTTCAGCTCACTGCAACCTCTGCCTCCTGGGTTTAAGCGATTCTCCTGCCTCAGCCTCCAGAATAGTTGAGACTACAGGTACACGCCACCACATCCAGCTAATTTTTGTAGCAGAGATAGGGTTTCACCATGTTGGCCAGGATGGTCTCAATCTCTTGACCTCATGATCTGCCACCCTCAGCCTTCCAAAGTGTTGGGATTAAGGTGTGAGCCACCATGCCTGGCCCAAACAGGTCTTAATGCAATATAATAGTAAATAAACCTGTGTCCTAAGAACTGTCTGCTATTTTAGGATGACAGTCTAAATTCTTGTGTTATTGTAAATCTCATCATAAAAGCAATTGTTTAATGAGGAAAGAAAAATCCTGTATTTGATCACATTAATCTTTTCCTTAAGAGTAAGGTAACTTCCTTTTTTTTTTTTTGAGACGGAGTCTCGCCCTGTCACCCAGACTGGAGTGTGCAGTGGTGTGACCTCGGCTCTCTGCAACCTCTGCCTCCTGGGTTTAAGCAATCCTCCCAGCTCAGCCTCCTGAGGAGCTAGTATTATAGATGCACCACCATGCTCAGCTAAATTTTTTGGTATTTTTAGTAGAGACGGGGTTTCACTATGTTGGCCAGGCTGGTCTTGAACTCCTGACCTCAAGTGATCTGCCCGCCTCGGCCTCCCAAAGTGCTAGGATTACAGGCGTGAGCCACCATGAGGGCCTGTAAAGGAACTTCGTTTTATCACAGTTATTCAATTAAAGCTGCTTCTTTTATTTTTAAATTTTTTTTTACCATAAACCATGAGACTTAAGTTTCTTTCTTTTCAATATAACCAATATGGTCAGTACAATGCAAAACATAAGTAATCTTTTCACTAACATAACACTTGTATGATTTTAAGACAAATTTGGCTTAAATTAAGTTTTGGGGTCAGCCCCAAATTCCTGCTACTTCCTTGTAGTCTGAGATACAGCCATATATATATATACACACACATATATATGTATAAATATATATATAAGTATATAATATATATGTATATATTGTATGTATTATATTATTTATTTATAAATATGTATATTTATAAATATACACATATATATATAATATATATAAATATATATATATTTTTAGAGATGAGGTTTCACCATGTTGGCTAGGCTGGTCTCAAACTTCTGACCTCAGGTGATCTGCCCACCTTGGCCTCCCAAAGTGCTGGGATTACAGGCGTGAGCCACCACACCCAGCCTCAGATACAGCTTTATACTTAAAACATTATTAGATTATATTTCCTAAATTTTAAAGTGACCAAAGGGGACAGTTTATATAAAGATAACACTTTTTCTTAATTTTTAGAAAACTATTTTATTTCTCCTGGTGGTCTTTTTTTTCCATCTCTATTTCTCTTCTCAGAGTCTTATTTGGTAGTTTGTTAATACACATCTTCCCTGAGTGTTTTTACAACACAAAGCCATCTAGTGATTCTGAATGGCTACTTTGCCTGCCAGTAATGGTAAAACCCAATATTGCTCTGGTAGAACTATTACACTTCTTACTTCAATCTTAGGGAAATTTCACCAATGCAAGGGATCTTGGTGCTGGCCCATTTCCTTCTTTGTCCATATTCAAAAGCAACCAATTCCTAACTGCCTATCTGCCATGCACGGGATTCACAAGGCAATGGACTCTGTGTCTGGGTAAGACAGTTTATGGGGTTTTTGAATGAAATACGCTACTGGAGGCCGGGTGCGGCGGCTCATGCCTGTGATCCCAGTACTTTGGGAGGTTGAGGTGGGCGGATCACTTGAGACCAGGAGTTCAAGACCAGCCTGGCCAAGAGGATGAAACCCTGTGTCTATTAAAAATACAAAAATTAGCTGGGCCTGGTGGTACACACCTATAATCCCAGTTACTCAGAGGCTGAGCCAGAAGAATTGCTTGAACCCAGGAGGCATAGGTTACAGTGATCTGAGATCGCACCACTCCATTCCAGCCTGGGTGACAGAACCAGACTCTATCTTAAAAAATAAACAAACAAAAAACCCAAATACACTATTGGAGCACTGGGAGTGGCCAAACTACAGCCTGCTCAGGGTCACAGAGGTCTGCCTTTGCACTTATGGCAATGGAACTTAGATTTAAGATCATTTAACTAGATGTTTCACCTACTGTGAAGACAGAGAAAAAAATATAGAAGGATACACTTTTGAAACTGTTCGAATTTTACCATCCAAGTGACTATGGGGGTGCACTGTAAACTGGGAGTCAAACCACACAGGACCATATGCATTTGCAATAATTCAGACTTCACCTCTATGATATATCTTATTGATATACTTTATACTAATGTTCCTCTGATTCTCACAGAATCTCATTACTACCCAGGCTCTAGGCGGATGGAAGAGGAAGGCTGCACTGGGTGACACTCTGGAGATGTGGTTCCGCCACTTATGTCTTCCTTGCACAGGAAGGGAAACCAACAGTTCTTTGAATACAGTATTTGTGGATATTTGAACATGCATATCCAATGAGCAACCCGGTTATGTTAAGACCCTCTGAAAGGTTTCTGATGGCTTCACATTCTTATCAAGAGCAAGCTTTAGTGTGGGAGGGAGGTCTGTTGTGGTACTGCCGCTAGTCACCTTGTACTCAAACCTCTTGATCCCTGACATTCACCTGTTATCTCTACACCCGTGGAGTAGTCTCCAGGATAACCTTTACTTGCCATGACAACAGTTAGGGCAGTGTGGTTTTCTAGCCAAACAGGCAGAGATGTGCAGAGCAGGCCATCTAAGGTGGACTGAATCACTTCATAAAGATCACTTTTAAGAAGTGGGAGGATTACCTGGAAAAACATAATCCACATGGCAGGTGAGATAAATTTTAGTTTTCCTTAAACATTTTATTCACTGAGGTACTAGCAGAACTTGCATGAATTTTCCAAAGGTAATTATTTCCAGGCTGATAAATTCCAAGATTAAAATAACATATATCTTCTACAAAGTAATACTTTTATATTTTTACCCACTTGGCACTCTGGATCACCAAAACGGCAATTAAACTCTAGAACTTTTGGGCCATCCTTGGTCAGCATTATTCCAGCATAGAGAATACCTTCATTTAAAAAGAAAAGCAAAAAAAAAGAGAGAGAAAGGAAATCTATAATGAAGACACTGTATTACTAATATAAAATCACATAAACTTCTAATAATCAAAGATTTGGAAAAATCATAAATGTTAAAAAAGTGGTGAAAAAAAGAGGATGGAAAACAAGTTTTATCGAAAGTGGAAAGTGACTCTACAAGTAGTGTCAGTAGTAATGTGGGTGTGCCTACCTGTATATGGAATACCCTCTTGCTGCA